CGCTGCATCCGCCAGCGGGAACGGCCGCGGGGCCCTTCAAGCCCCGTGCAGCAGCAGCAGCAGCAGCAGCAGCTGCTGCTGCTGCTGCAGCAGCAACTGCAGCAGCAGCAGTAATAAATAACAGAATTCACTTGCTGCTGTGTCTCCACTCACAGCTACAGCTTACTCAGCAGCAGCAGCTGTGTGGCGCCCAAGACAACAGAACGCTGCAGCTGGGGGGCCTCGAGGGTTTAGGGTTTAGGGTTTAGGGTTTAGGGTTTAGGGTTTAGTTAACTGGCTGGCAATGACTTAGAGAAAAGAGAAGAGGTAGATGTGGACCCTTCCAGAGGGCTTCAGCAGCAACAGCAGCAGCAACAGCAGCAGCAACAGCAGCAGCAACACAGCAGCAACTGCAGCAGCAGCAGCACTGACTTGAAAAACGCCAGCAGCTGCTACTGCAGCTGCAGCAGCAGCAGCAGCAGCAGCAGCAGCAGCAGATACAACAACATCTCCCTATGTGGAGTGTACGTACACCCGACGAGAATGGAGGTGGGCCTGCACAGCAGCAGCAGCAGAACTGCAGCAACAGCCCCCTCCTCCTTTCCCGCTGCTGCTGCAGCTTTTCTTGCTGCTGATGCGTCCCCCCCGCTGCTGCTGCTGCTGCTGCTGCTAATGCTGCTGCTGCTGCTGCTGCTGCTGTGCTGCAGACGCCCCGGCGGCACGGGCGCTGCGCCGTTGAGGCCTGGCCCACCACAACTCCCTCAGACTGCGAGTACGCCCCAGCAGCAGCAGCAGCAGCAGCAGCAGCAGCAGCAGCAGATATATTAGCTGCAGCAGCAACCGAAGTATTAGAAGCAGCACCAGCGGGAGTGTTAGCACAAGCAGCAGCAGCAGCAGCAAAAGTAGTAGCAGCAGCAGCAGAAGAAGCACTAGCAGCAGCAGCAGAAGTGTTACTAGCAGCAGCAGCAGAAGCATTAGCAGCAGCAGCAGCAGCAGCAAATGTATTTCAAAAAATTAGTATAATATCCCCCAAACCGCTGTATATGCCTCCTACTGTTGCTGCTGCTGCTGCTGCTGCCGCCGCCGCT